AGATTTGCTTTTCATCTGCATTTTTTAGGTCACAAAGAAAACTGTATATAATGCCACATCAATCAAAAGTTATTGACATGCTGCTTTTCAACACGCCTCGAGCATAATCCATCAGTCATTTCTGTCAAGCCATCAAGATTACAGTACATCGACTACTCCCTCCAACCCATTGCTCATTCATCCGTAGTATAATGCTACTCAAACTGTTACGTGCTCCCCTCCTTGTTTTCTTTCTCTCTCCCTGTTGCGCAGGTGCACCTGGTCTGCCTCTGGCTCCGCCTCTGCCCAGGTGTTCCCAATTCCACTCAGTCAATATATAAAGAGAAGCTGGAGGAAAAGGATGTCTCGCCTTTTCTGGCGCTGGGAGACACTCTCCTCTGAAGACCCTTTTTGGTATAGTGGGGCTTGAGCTATCCTGTGTCTTGTAGATGTGTTTATATTTAGCCTGGAGGACCTGGTAGTCCAGTTTTCGCGGCTTTTTTTGTTTCCATTGGGTTTACGCCTGACTTTTGGTTAGGGGGGGGGAGCTCTGGGTCCTACGGCCCCTGGTGTGGCTGGCTCGGGCACCATCCTTCCTTTTGTTCTTTTTGGCCAGTCCTCCAGACCTTTTTCATTTATAGTTTGGCTTTTGTAAGAAGATGGCATAATAATAATAAATGTTCGTTACTAAGTACTGGTTTTTGCGTGTATTTTTCATGTTGCGGGTCTCAGCGCGAGCCACTACTGCTGAGTAGAGGCTGTGGCCGTAACACAAACACACTTTTTTATTGTGCAAAACAAACTATAAACAGAGTGAAATAGATGATTGATAGATAACTGCAGATGTTATGATAATCATTGTGTATGCACTTCAATAAGGGCCGATAACAATTCAATAAATAAAAAACAATTCAAGCTTTCACAAAGGATGAAAAATAAAAGCTGAAGAAAAAACTATGTGCATAAATATAAATGTATGGCCCTTTATATCAAGTTGTTGAATTTGGTCGCATCGTTGTCCTATTCCTTGTATCGAGTCATTTGATTGGTCTGTTGTAAAGAGTATTTTAATTGGCTAATTGAATTCAATTAGCCAGTTTAATCAATTAATTTCATTGGTCCATTGGATCAATTGTTTTGACTGGTCTACATGGAGTCATTTGATCAGCCGATAAAATTGAGTCATTTGATTGGCAGATCGAAAAGGTCATTTGATTGGCTAATTGTATTGAGTGATTTGATTGATCAAATGACTATGGGAAAGTCAGAAGGGGTGCTCCAGGCAATCTATTTTCCATTTCAGGCCTGCAGTTCGATGGACCCTAGTCATGGCCACACCAGTAAACAATGAAAGAGGCTCCTTCAAACAGCCACTATAGCCGCGTTCACACCGGAGTACTTTCACCGTACTTTTCGCGTTTTAGTTCCGTGAGTCGCGTTCACACCAAAAATCGTACTTAATCTCGGGTACTTTTACCCCCATTTTTAGAGCCAACTCAGAGAGCGTACTTTTCTGTGGGTGAAAAGTTCTCCAAAAGTGCCCCAGTGCTGATTGGCTGGGCGAATTGCAAACCACGCCCGTACAACTCTGAAAATGTTGTGTAGAGCCGCCATTGTTTTTCCTCGCTACAAAAACACAACGCTCCGTGCGTTGTGTTTGTTTTTGAAAGCAGTTATGGCAAGCATCAAGAAATGATGAGGAGGTGTCGGCGCTTCTGGAGATCTACGCAGAGGACGCGACCCAGGGAATGCACTGAAGCCAGTTCAGTAGCTTTCACTCGACCTGGGAATGTGCACAGCCCCACGGCACACCGGCTAAAAATAAAGAAACTCGGGCAGGACTACAAACGGCGGATTCAGTGGCCAACGATGACGACCACGACGAAGGTAAAATCAACTACATGCACTGGGGTTTTAATCTGCACAATAATGGTCTCAGATGTACTTTTATTTGCTCAGTAGATCAAGCTAGCCATGCTAGCCATAATAAGCTAACACCGGCCCCGAGCACACAGTACACACACACTGTAACTTTGTCTTGAAAGAACGTTACGCATCGAACTGATGTTCACAATCATGTTTATTTCATAATATTCATCATATTTTATGTTTAACTTGCCTCAACAACATTAAACAAAGTTCAAGCATACATGAAGCACTCTTCAAAAAGGAACAATCCTCCGTGTTTGAACCTCTTAAATCGCTGCATAGCCGATTTATTTGGACTGGATTATCCCAGAGGGTCTAAACATTCTTTATAACACAGTTTCAGATTTGTGAAACCTTAATTCTATTTGTGAAAATACAAAAAACACATTCCTAGTATGTTGTAAAACTACATGGCGACTAAACTTGTATATTGTATATTGCTTATTTTCCCCTCTTAGGAAAGCGGACACGGGATGCGAATTTCTTTGACACCGCCCAGGCGTTGGAGGACCGGCGTGCCGTGGTGAATGAGTCGCTGCGTGGAGATCAGATGGTGCTGTTCACCAAGGCCCAGGAAACGGAGGACAAGATGCTCACCTCGATGGAGCGCCAGGCAGAAGTGTTCAAGCAGCAGATGGAGCGCCAGCAGCACCAGGATGAAGTGTGGGCGCTGCGCCATGAGGAAGCGTCGGCGCAGCGGCAGGATGAGCGACAAACTGCATTTAATAACAGTTTATTTGGTATAGTTTTTGTAAATACTGACACACGACACACAACGTTGCACTAAGGTGTGCATGCTGCTGAGAATATCCCTACACCTGGGACAGTTTATTTTATATTGTTATTACTGTTATGACTTTATTTTATATATAATGTTTACTGACATGTACAACTGACACTTTATTTACATTTAAAATTGTTCTATTTAATGTTATGTCTTGAGAGTGCAATAAAGAAAACCGACATGGCGATTAAGCTTATTTCTCCTGACACTTTATCTTTTGTGACCTGTGTAGCATCCTATACATCACATGTAAGTGATTATTCTGATACCATCATGTTTCATCGGTTATAAACTGGCAAAGCTTTATTTGTCATTTATTTATCATCAATGTTGCAACCTTGTGGGGGAATGGCAGGGGCACATACACAAATATGATAATTTATATCATTTTAAATATTATTTGACCTAAACTTTTAATTCCCCCCCATTTCACACAACACAACATGGAGTCCACTATGGGCCAAAACTAACATGTATGTTTGCATAGTGTTTATGGCAGACGGATGCAGTGGGTCTCAGGAAGATATATAATAAAGGTGGGTTTGCTGCTGAGACTCCCTACAGCTGGGAGTTTATTTTATATTGTTATTACTGTTATTATATAGTACAACTGACACTTTATTTTATATTGACAATGTTTACTGACATGTACAACTGACACTTTAGTTACATTTAAAATATTTCTATTTAATGTTATGTCTTGAGAGTGCAATAAAGAAAACCGACATGGCGATTAAACAGATCCTGTATCAGTTTTTCTTCTTCTCTTGTTTTGTAGCGGGTTGCAAACAACTTTAAGGTGCTTACCGCCACCTACTGTACTTGTAATCTTCCCTCAGGGAAAAGTACTCCGGTGTGAACGCGATCTGTACTAAGTACCCTGGGGTTAAAAGCGCCAGGGCTCTTAGTGCCGGAACTAAGTACAGGAAAGTACTTGGTGTGAACGCGGCTAATGAGTGATAAAACACAATGAGTGATAAACACTGCCAATTCTGGAGACCTTCTGCAGGACTGGAACTCAGTATGACAATACCTTGAACCCCTGTGCCTCCTATTACAGCAAGTTGGCAAGTCGTAAACAATTTGAAAATAACCATCAAAACTGTGTTATATAATGCTATGAACAAGCTGTCTCTTAAATGATCAACTGTATTTTCTTGAAGAATAAAGGACAAGTGCAATTTCACTTGTATGCCAATAACTGTTAGTTTGTTTTGTAAATAAAAAGTTGCACATTTTAGTCGTACAATCTTTGTTAGCACAACACCTTCTGTATCTTACCACTCTTCTCTACTGGATACTGGCCATTGCTGTTTTGTCCAATAACCGAGTGCAGAATAACATGGTTTGTGAATTTGGCTAATGGTCCTGTGACGATATTGCTCATTATCAGCCAACCAGATTACTTTAAGTATCTAAAGAGCCTTTTTATGTCTTCCAATGAATATTAAATCCGATGTACAGGTCAGTTATACATTAAAACAACCTTTTAGCAGAATTATAATAAAGTCCCCCATCTGGTAAAACAGTTAAACTGCAGAAGTAGCAGTAAATGTAGCTTTTTTATATGTACTAGGTTTAAGATGCTAAAGCCTACTTCATTTGTTGGTTTAGTTAAATACACAACAAATATAAGCCAACCATTTTTACCTACTATATTATTCTTCATGACTGATCACAACAGCCAGAGAAGCAGGACCTTTTTTATTTCAACTAAAAATAAATAAGGTTACCATGTGAAAAGTCCCGGTACAATACTGAGCAGATCCTCTTTTAAAGGTCCCCTATTATACTATTTTTCATCAATATATTATAGGTCTCAGATATATACAAATCATGTATCTGAAGTGTGTGGCTCGAAATACCACACAGATTGTGCATTGTAGCATCCCACAAACCCCTCTGTTTCAGCCCTGTTTCAAAAGTGCTGATTCTCTGACTGTTACTTTAGATGAAAATAAGGAGCCACTCCCCACGCCCCTCTGAGAGATATTTGGTTAAAAAGAACAGAATGGTGCTCTAGGAGGAGATTCAGGTGATAAGGTGGGGGGGTGTTACCTTGGTTGGTTATTGGCTAATGGTTACACAAGCCAAAACATCGTTATGACACCATAAAGTGGCCAAAATCTGATCAGCTCATTTTCAGACATGTTTCTATATAAATGGATCAGGACAAAAAGTGAGAGACTCTTTTTTCCTGAAACTTTCAGAATCTCTTTACACAGAGGGGACACATGTTTATGTATCAAAGACATGGAAAAGTGGATTTTGCATAACAGGTGACCTTTAAGTTGCGTTCTCAGCTTACCTGTTTCAGGGTCACATTGGTGCTCACAGGGGTCCAGGAGGCGGCGTCCACACAGCTCGTTGACCCAGGGACCACTGGCGTTCTGTTGGTAATACAACAAGATCTGGGCCGGGTTCAACCAGTCTGATGCGTCCATCTGGCTCCCCTGCAGCAAAATAAACCTCGATCCTGAGGGGGCCAGAGGAGAGAGGGGTAAAGGGTAGAGGAGTCAGGGAGAGGTAATGACAGAGATAGATATAATAAATGCATGACAGGTGGAGGGATTGTAGAAAACCCTTAAGAATAAGAAAATAACTTATTTATAACGTTCACTACAAATATCAGGACAAGGCCACAGTATATTTTGGACCTTGCTACAAAATTATCTTAAGATGATTCAAAGACAGCAGGGAAAATGTTATCATATACTCGAAATCCAAATGGGAAAATAAGGAATGAGAACCATCAGTGTTAGAAAACCTTCCAAATAAAATATTTTAGTAAGCCAAAATGTAAATATTTGATAAGCTAAGGAGATTAACCTGGCCTAACAAACATGAAACACCGTGAACGTCTCAACAACTGTGATATCTGAAAATGAATAATTATTATTCATTATTATTGAAGCAGGAGCTGACATCCAGCCAAGATAACAAATATTGACAGCTGCAAAATTAAAATATGAAAAATATTCAGACTGTGAGAAACATTCTAAAAAAACGATGCCTGTTGTAGAAAGCCTAACACTTGTTTTGATTATTATCAGTAACCACAGGCAGCCACTTTGCAACAGGAGGAAGGCAACAGTGAAGAAAATAGAGCTTTGACTTTTATGTGTACACATTTCCCATGGTGTTCGGATAAATATTTGCAAGAATTAAAAGGGTGTATGGTTCAGACAGTGTCATAATTTGAATAAATCACATGTAAGCTAATGCACTACAGGAAGGACTCTGTTTGGCTGCGGCCTTACTGATAAACAATGTATTTTTGTGTCCTTCTCACCAGTGCAGTGTGAAATTGTGTTATGGTCTGTTCTCCTTTTGGATGAGTTCTTTACTGAGCCAATTACTTTATATACAGTCCGTGTTTGATTCAGTTATGTTTAAGGTGATGGTGTACTCAGATTAAATTGGCCACATGCCTTGGTGACTGTAACTGCATAGTAACTCGGTTAAAGTTGAGTGTCCATAAGAAAATGCACCCCTCAAACTGTTCAGGCTTCTCTGTGGTTGTTTGTAATAACGGTAGAATTTCACTAACAACTAATTAACAGCTTCTGAGCTGTTTTTCTCCAGAACTCCCCAGGAATCCACTCACAAATTGCACTCCTACGCTGTGATCTTTTCATGTGTATTATTAGTGGCACTTGTGACATAAATAAAGCAGCGTGATGGAATTAGGGCTGCATTGCCATGTCAGGTCAACACATCCGCGGCCTGAAAGGGCCCAGTCAATGTAGCTTTTAATTAGTTAAACAATTTTTTCTAGTGACACGGCAGGTGTCACTAGAACAGCGTATACTGAGAGTTATCCTCTGTGTGATCTTTGCAAACTAGCATTAACACTCATTGACCAAAGCCCTGTCTGTTTGAAAACATGGGGTGCACTGGGCTTTTTTAACCCGGGCATATTTAATGACTACTTGGCAGGCTATGTCTGCCCTAGTTAGTGCTATCCCCTTTGATGATCACTTAAAAATAGAGCACACACTGCACTGGCCGGACAAATCTCATTTGACTAATCTTGGAGAGCTATAAAGTTGCTCATAAAAACTCTGAAACTATAGACACCAATCATGTTTTTTTATTTTTGATGGCACATTTAATGTCCTGTTTGATGTCTCTGGCAATCGAGGATATGCAATATTTGTGTTTTTCAATCATGAAAAGGATTTCTGATATTAAACATAAATGCTTTGTGGATGGATCCAAAAAAGACTGTACTTACTGACATTTGACATTAAGAAAATTAGACTTCAAATATGAAACCTTAGCCAACTTTATTCAGATATTCTTAATCATCTCAAGTGTGAATCTCACAGGAGGCTACATCGCGCTGAATGGACTTTCAGGGCTAGAATGTGTGGAGTGGCTTAATAGCTGATTTAAGCACCACTCTACAGCACTTCAGTCTGAATAGAGCTGGTATGTAATATCCCTGGACAATGTTTCATAAATGAACATTGAAATAATGGGCAAAAAGAAAGGAACAATGAAGCATTGAGTATCTGACCTAAACTGTAGAAATAAAATATTTGTGTTTGTTTTTGTGATTTTTGCCTTTATTCCTCACTTGACAGAGAAAATAGAAATAGTGAGAGACTGTATTGTCACTGTATGGCCATCTCATGGAACCTTGACCTCTCCCTTTTTCAAAATTCAGAAAGAAGGTTGAAAACAGAAATGTACTGGATAGTAGGCATTCCTCTTATGATTTATCTAGTGGGGAATTCACAGGAAGGTAGCAGTTGGAAGAAAAAAAACAAGACTCAGTCTTAGCAAAAAAGTCTTCTTCCATTTTTAGCAAATACATAAGATGAAAGTGAAACAAAAGATGGAGCAAAATGTATTATCGACAAAAAATGTGTCTACTATTTTATGCATAACTATTGCTATATTAATTTAAAGAAGACCTTTCTTGGCCATTGATACATGTTTTTAGCAGCTCTAGTGACGTGGCTCCATGATGTTTGCTGGATGGTTGGTGTGAAGGCTACAAGCCTCACAAACAACCACACATGTTAAAGGTTATGCGTTTGTTTTAAACTATACATACACAGACACATTATTCTTTCTTTATTTTACTAGATTGAGTGCACGGAATCTTGTTTAAAATAATTGTTGTTAATTGTGTTGTGTTAATCCTGTTGTTAGTGTCTTGCAGCTCACGTTGCTCCTGGCAAAAGGCTGAGCTGATGAACACCACCTGCCTATATAGATGTGCTAATTGGACAACGTCATTCCCCTCAAACCCTAAGGGGTGTTTAAAGAGGCCACGTCATTTAAGCCTCCCATATACATGCCTGCAGTGTGGAGAGGAAGGGGGGGGGTGTATGTGAGTTGCTCTTGGATAGAAGCACACAGAAAGTCCCCCAATTTGGTGACGTTTTTTGTTTATTCATTAATGCTAGTTTGTATCTATTTATATTATTAATAATAAACCTTTTTTTTTCAACCTAATTAATTTTGTTACCCATCCTAAAACTGTATATATATTGGGTAAATAAAATCCTTATTTTCTCCACATCAACCTGCATTCCTAGTTTTTGCATACCCTGGTCCTTCACAGTTGGTCTCTGCTTTTGTTCCAGTCTAACTATTGGATGGATTGTATGAGTTTTTGTACATACAGTCATGGTGCCAAGAAGATAAATAATAAAAACATTCAAAGTCACCAGAATGTTCCTCGAGCACCACCCTGGTGTTAACATTTAAGTGAAATGTCTTAACAATTATGCTTTACGGAGTGCCATTACATCTGGCACATATATTCCCCTGATGTGGAATTGTGATGACTTTAGTGACCTTTGTCCATCATCAGGTCAAAGTTTATTTGTGGGTTTATTAACCAATATCTACAAAAAAACTAAGTAAAGATATTAAACCTGCAAAATATATTTCATTTTCTAAAATTGCCACTGTAAGCATTGGCAAATGCTTATGTAAGCATTTAGCTCTAATTAACATTGTGCTTGATTAAGACCTGATGAAGCCCGCACCGTGGCTGTAGATTTATGGCTCAGTTATTGTTTTGAACAGCATGAAAGTATTTTTTCCCTCTTTATCAGTTGCTTTTAATTATTTAAGACAGCCTTCATATTTTAATGAGGGATTGAAAAACTGAAATTCAGTAGGTATCACTGGCGGGGGGTGGTATGAAGGTCCTTCACCAGAGGGAGGACATTAAACAGAAATCCCTAGCTTCTACATACACTTTGATGTTGTGTGCATTAGATTATTGAGCTACACTGCAACTGGGACTTCAATAGTCATAATTTTAAATGTAAATTGACACGTCCGAGGACAAAGATAGGAAAACTATTTCTAAAAGATACAATTTCCGATGATAAACCATTCCCACATTTCTATTTTAGAATCCGAGTTAGTCATAAAGAGATGTTTGTTCTGTCCTTTGTTATGTATTTTGAATAGCAGTATGTTATCCTGCGTGAACAGAGAAACATCCCCTGATTGATTACTTTACCTGATGTGAAAGGCGAGGGGAAAGGTGTGACGCTACGTTCTGTGCTTTTTCTTCCCAGGCAGACACACGCGCAGCTGTTTGCATTAATAGCTTCTTTCCCCAGTGGTAGAATCCAGATACTCATCTGATTCACCATGACATCAAATCAAAGTGTGATGAGATTGTGGAGACATTTATGGAAACATTCTAAATCGATCCCAGTTTTTGTAATTCAACAGGCGAATCCAGCGTCTTTCATCTCCCCTTTCAAAGTTACCCCTTGGACACCTCCCTGGAATGTTAATATCTCCCTGGCAGGCCCGTGTACACCATCGGAAAGCAGCAGTGCTCCGAATCAAATCAGACCTCGGGATGATAGATGAGCGAGCGTAGTCAAAGTCTATAATATATCTGGACTGCCAGCTCACTCCTGTGACGGCTGAAAAATGCCAAAGAGCCAGCAGGAGCCAGTGCTCGGTCCCCGCAGTGCTTTTTTACTTCTTCAGGTGCTACATTGGAATTCATTAGCACAGTGGTTCAACATATCAGAAAGTACAAGGGGAAGAGTGATGGAGGGTTTGCTGCGGGTGGTCACTGCAACCTGGCCTCAATGTGCTCTGATGCTTTGAGGGCACATCTGGTGTGTGGCCTCACATGGGAAACGCAGGGAGGGGGTGGGCGACCTGGCATTTTACTTTTGTCTTTGAGAGAGAGAGCAAAGCAAATCGGCCAGCTACACGAGAAACACAGGCACTCTGTTTGAGAGAAATGGCGAGAAGAACTCCTTGGAGAGTGGCAGAAAAAATGCCAGCTCAGTCGCCTGGGGTATCGAGCACCCAGGGAAATGTATGGGGAAAGAGTCCAGCTACATTGCTAATAAAGTCCTGTTTAATTTGTTGAATACTTCTGTTAAAACAGAGTAAAGAATCTTTCTTGTATAAACATAATTCATTTGATTTGTTAAAAACATTTCTAATAAATTCCAGTTAATTAAATCTGCTGAGATTTAAAAAAAAAGCTTGGGTTTAGCAAATTGATTTCATGTTTAAAATGAATATTTCTGTGTTTAGTCTGCCCAGTTTATTTGTAAAATATACGTACATACGGCAGCAGTGTCAGTGTATTGTTTGCATGTTTTATTTATTTGAATGACTATTGCAAGTTGCCTAATGCATCTTTATTGTCTTCAAAGGTTTTTCACCTATAAGACCAATCCGGCAACTAAATGGAAATTGATTTTTCAAGTAAACTACTGAAATAAAAGACTGAACAAGTAACAGTTGCTGTGTCATTGGAGTGGAATCCAGTCAGAAGTCATGTAGATGCTTCAAGTTCCTTTCAAGTGGGGAAAAGACGGAGAAGACTTGACCGTGAGGCGAGAGAAGAGACTTACCGTCAGCGATGAGGTGCTCTGGAACGTGTAGAACCACCCGTACTGCGATGCTGCAGGACATGTGAGAGGAGTACACCAGGCCGATCACGCAGCTGATGACACTGATCAAAGTCAGGGTGGTCTTATTGATGGGACTCCGCGGGGAACCTGCTGCTGGGAACAAATGCACAGGCAGGGAGTGGGGAGAGGTGGGAACAACAAATGATAAAGATATCTGAAGCAGTGACCGTTCTTTAATCCCCGACATACCCTGAAACATGCACACAACCACACAAACGTACGCACACGATTACACATGGAGATATTTCACAAACAAGCCAAAAAAAGGGGCTTAGCGTCCATGAAAAGGACATTTGGATCAAAAACATCAAGCCTTTGGGAGGTTTAGAACAGGCATAGCTCGCTGGCCCAGCAATATGGTTTACCTTTGAAGGGTTTTAACATCCATGCAGGGATGCGACGGGAAAAAGACACATGGGCCTACATAGAAATGGTCCAGAGGTTGTTTTGCAACCTTCCCCTCTTTCCTTTGCTCTGCCTTTCCGCCAGAGCGAGGTTGCGTCCCTTATCTCTTTTCTCCAGAGTGCAACACGGAAAGTGTTAAACATGACCCACAGGGGCAAGCACAAACACACAAACACACACGATACAACACATTTAACCTTGAATAAAGCCACTCACTTTGTTTACAATTGTTATTTTCTCATACAGTAGCAGAATAGGTCTAGATTACATTGTACATTTTAGCATAACTTTCTCATTCAGAAGCTGCCTGAGGGGAACTGCCTTACATTTTCAGTTAATTTCCTTACAGCTCTAAATCACAAATTGCAGTTCCTATACCTGTAAAGGTGTAGCATTATTAGAGGCGGAACAAACCTGCGGTGTAGCATTTGCCACGTAATAATTAATTGGTGCACTTGACAGTCTAGGCACAGGAGAATTGTGTTACAGGAAAAAGCTCTCAAGCTAAGTTGATGGAAATAACTCCAGGATGCAGTATTGAGAATCCAGCCACTCTCAGTAGTAGGCAGCCTTTTTGTATGATTATTTAATTTCAATTAGGTTTGTTCGGATAAGCTGCAAGTTACAGGCGTGTGTTTGTGTATGTGTGTTAGCTTGTGGGACGCGTTCTATGCTATAAATGTCCATCTACATTATTTCTATTGGAAGCTTAAGCGGTATGCATAATAAATTGTAAAAGACATACAGTTAATAATTTGTATACTTGTTTTTCTTCTCTTGTTAACCCCTGTTCTGATGGGTTGGTCAGGTATGAAACTAAACCATGTTTTTTAATCAAGACTTGATGACTGGTGTATATTACTGGAGGGAGCTACAGGATCCTTTAACAAAGTAGAAATCTTACCTATCCTATTATGTACAAAGCTAGTTTATTCAATCAAGAACTTTTTAATGAATTTCCCTGGAATAGACATTACATAAAAAAACGTGAAATCTTCCGATATTCTCACACTCATCATCCCTATGACTTAAGGAAATGATTATATCACGCCTCACAAATCATTACTTTCCTCTAGATGCAAACAACATTGTTAGGGCACTATTGCAACCAATTTATTATTTCCGTAAGCTTTGTTTTAATTAAAGGTTTGGCTTAACTTCTGGAGATATCGCCATGTTTGTGACACATGACAGTGGAGTAATTGGCTTTGAGGCGTTTGGAAAGCTTGTAACGCCTTCTGACAGCAGCTATTATTTTGAAGAAATTGTCTCGTTATTTTTTAACCCCCCCGTGTCTGTATCCCACACCCCCTTACTGTACATCACAGCTGCAAGGACAATGGCATGCTGACAGATGAAACGTGCCACAACACTTCTCTTAGACACATTGGCACTCTTCTCTTTAGAAATAATACGTGTGTGAAATATTATTTCAAGATACATTGTTTTTCACGTCACGAGATGCAATCCATATCTAAATAGTCGCCACCAAAACCTCTGATCTCGTTGTCATGTTTCATTTCAGTCAACAAGATTGTATGCAGATGCAGTGTAACATGCTCACAACCACTTTTAAGAAACACACCTATGTAGACACACAAACTCCACACTTTCCTTGGAGTCCAAATCACGAGCACACACACATACAACACTGGTGCCTTTCCATCTGCTTTATGCATTGTCAAGGTTACTTGTCATGCGTCATGGCGATGGTAGAACCATCTGACGGCGGGATAAACTGACTGTAGGTGAATTCTCCTTACCCCCTGAGCCCCACGCGCTGTTGGCGTTACCGTTTCTCATACCTCGACTCCGGCGTCGACTGCGGTTTGGGTCGGTGTAAAAGGCCAGCTGAGGCTCGCTGTCTGCCTCCGTTCCAGAGTCCCCGTCGGGGTTCAAGAAAGTTGAACCCCCTGTTGGATTCACACATAAAAAGTATGAAAAATACATCTACTATGAAGAAACGTAGTTCTGGACCATTGGTAGGGAAATGTGTCCTCAAGTTGGCCTCATTGAGAACGCAGTGGGAAAAGAAAGGGCAGCCAGAACCAAAAAGGAAAGGGCTGTGGGATTCAGTGTGGAAACAGATCAGACAAAGTTTGTTTTATTAAATCAATTATTGATATGTAGGCTAATGGAGATGGAAGCCAAGCAGAAAGTTATCCGTATCATGTATTAAAGAAAAATACGTTTTTTTCCTTGCTTAAGCATTCTGGTTTATCTGTAGCTTTTAGTTTGGTTATCGTGTTAAGTCAAATATATAGTGTCATTTTAGATCCTTTAATGGAGTAAAATAAATACTGCCAAACAGAAGTATATAAAGAAGGACGCAATGCATCTTCTTGACTTTGATTTGTGCTTTATAACTGAATGGCTTTTGGTGAAGTCCTTGGGGGAATGCAATTTTAGTCAATCCTATCTACTGTAACCTTGAGCTGTTTATAAAAAAGTGACAAACGTTGCCTTGTAGAGCGAAACTTTGCTGTGGATCTTTACATTATTACAATGGAGAATATTCAAGATTCAATGGTTTATTGTCAAATAATGAATACAAAACATGGGTCACAGGTTCCTCAGCAATGCAAATACAAGACATAAACATTTAGAAAATAAGAACAATACAATTTGTGCAAGCTCATGCGTTAAGTAGTCTTATGGCCTGTGGGATAAAACTGTCTCTGAGATATAATCATGTTAAAATCAAGTTGTGGTTAAAAAGCCTTTCTCAAAAGGAATGAATCATCTACAATGAGTGCTCACAGACTGATGCATATAAGAATCAGTAATGAGCATGGTACTGAAAGTACAAATAAGTACTTCATTTTTTATTACCGAACATGTTGTGCTGGTACCTAAAGGTTAAAATGTTAATGCATATAATGTGAGTGTTTATCTCATTACCTCAGTGTTATGTTAAGACAGTGCTATGCTGCGGTGAATCCTTTTAAAAAGTAAAGATGGAAAACAATGGATGGCTTACAAGATGGAAATCTTAAAGGGTGGATAAAATGCTGAACAAATATTTGCCTGTGTACATTTGCTGGACAATACCAACATCAATTTTTTTTCATTTTGGTTTGTCTTGTCGTTATCGTAATCATGCTGACAAGCAAATGGACAAACTACTTGCCTGATTTTAATGGAATTGGGTGGAAGGGTTAAAATAACTAAATGACATTTTGGAGCGTATCCAAATCAAGGCGTGGAAATGTGTCTTTCATTTACATTTCAAGATAGTGCATCTTTTATTTATGTGGTATAGAACATTAGGGTTCCTGACTATGAAATGATGACGTAAAGCTCATGAAAACACCAAAGAAAACCTTGGAACTTTGGTATGGCACCATCAGAGTATGTTAACATACCATTAGCCAAAATGTGTGCTTTTCATGTTGCCATTTATGGAAAGAGCCAATTCACAAGCACTTCCAATAAATAAAGAAAGGCTACAGAATGGAGAGTACAAAAAAAAAGGGGGGGGGGGGGGGGGGTACACTGCTTTGTTTGGGAAGTTAATCCCACTCATAGCAATTAATCGTTCTCCATTTTGCAGTGGGTGAGATAGTAAATGTGCCTTCTTTTCCCGACTGGTCTAGCATTTCAAGCTACAATATGATCTTAAGGATGACGTATAAAAAAACCTCCTTTTATAATGCAATGTCCCTAATAAGTCTAAAATGAATTTCAGCTGATTGTGTTTTAGCAGAGGCATTAGCTAGATTTAGAGGGCATGTATTGAAGCTTGTCTTACAAGTGTTAGCGGATTGCGAATCACAAAGTGTGGGGGAAAATCCATGAAAGCAGCAAAGAGTTGCTGCCTCAGCGGGATATGTGTGAACTGAAACAAAATTCATGCTAACGTTGCTCAGTGACAAGAGCTTTTAAAATCCCCAACCAAGCATTTGATTAAACTACAGAAGATCCCAAAGAAGGAAAAATGGGGGGAATGAAAAACACTGTTGGCAGCAATGTCAATGTGAGAAGGGCTTTTCATGACAGCAGCTTCATCAGCTTTTCACATTGTTGGTTTTAGAACAATATGCACTGAAGATATGAATGCACAGTGTAAATATTATTGGCAGCCATGACTATCTGACGGCACAGATGCTGCCGTTGCTTTACTTCACAAGGGGGAAGGCCTTTTTGATGACACCATTGTTTCAGCAGCATTTCACATGACTGATTTAATAATAAAATAATATTCACTGGACAATTTCCCCACATAAATGTTTGCTGGCAGGAAACAAAGTCCTCTGTAACATTATTAAGTGTGCTATCAAAATGCTGCAGTGAAATAAGGTCCAATAAAACCTTATATATAGTATGTTACAATAACTACAAAATAAGGAAAACAAGTAAATGTCAAGTTAAATATCCATCAGACAGTGGGAATTTTTATTATATGCAACACAAAAACATTGAGTTTAAAAATAAAACGTTTTTACTTTCCCCATTTGGAAAAAAGCTGTATTTCCATTGAAACTGTTTAGATTATATATTGTTTGCTTTGCTTGTTGCTTCCTTTGTCTGGAGTTTGAACAAAGGAACAAAGGTTTTCCACAGACAAAAACATTGTATTGAGAACATATAGGTATTTTTGAGAAGCATATAATAATATGTACTAAGTATGGTACATTTGTTATATGCCAATGACAACACTATTGCCATGTACAGATTCAAGGGTTATTCACTTAAAGAATGCAGCATATGAAGATGTAGCCTTCAAAGGAATTGGGCTAAGGCTGTTGCTCTTTTGTAAATGAGGCACTCTACCTTTACATATAATGAAGTTGTGTTCTGAACAAGCAGAAACAATAAAAGGTTTAAAATACAAGTTGACTATTTACCACCTAAACTTAAATCAACTGGTAAAAAGGATTTGGTCCTATTCCCACACATCCCTTATTGAGGGGTCTAGTTGTTTTAGGGCCCCGCTGTTGGCTCCATTTTAAGGAGACTCTGAAATATGACATTCTGCTAGAATATTTTCAATGACGAAATGATTAATCACTTCAAAGTACATGTATGTGGCCCTGATTTGGGACAAAGGTCATGTGATAGTGTGTCCCCTAGACAATGGGTTCAGTGAATGTATGCACTCAATCATAGAGATTGAAGAAGTTGAAACAGAATCAGTTTTGGAAAAATTAAACCAGACGTCACAGTGCGGTGGCCAAACACATAACTGGCCCACAATGGGCCATTTGAATCAAATGGGGGTCTATCAAATGGGCTATTCAACCCTCATTATACCAACACATTTAACATACAAAGACTACATACTGACCCAACAATATCATATTGTAAGGAACAAACATTATATTAAATAATTTTAATTAATTTTTTATTTCTTCTCAAAACACTTTTTATTCATTAATCTTAGGTCGCATTCACACCAGCCTTGTTTAGTCCGGTTGAATCGAACCCTGGTGCGTTTAACCCCTTGGTGCGGTTCGTTTGGGTTGGTGTGAACAGAGTCCAAGACCTCTGAAGTGAACTAAACAACCGGACGCTGGTCCGATTAAAAGAGGTGGTCTCGGACCACTTGCTAGTGAACCCTGGAGCGGTTCATCGCTGGTGTGAACGCAGTCCGCACCAAAGCACAGGAAGTATAGTATTTACGCGCTGCAAGAACGTGGAGGTCTTCAAAATCTTTAGCGAAAGAGTGAAGCAGAATGAAGTGTTGAACAGTGTCGTGTAAAGTAAAAATGCTCCGTGAACTATACATAAAAGTCAGAGCCACCTGTCGTCGGTGAAACCTCCTCTTTACTGCAGAACGTCTCTCATTATATGTGTTATAATGTTTTGTAATGCACGTCGTCTGATTATATAATCATATGCGCCGTCTGCTAGAGTCTGTAGATATGCTGTCCAGATTAACAGCAGCATGTAATCTGCCAGTGCTCCATGGCGGAGGCTACGGTAGAAATTGCCTGGATTTACGTTTTTTCCCCCTTAATGTCTGACCAATTGTTGAACAGCATTTCCGAGCACGTGACTTGTGTTTAAAGTTTATAGTCCGTTTGAGTTTTTCCCGTGTGAACGCAAACCGAACCTTCTGAAAAATGAAACAATGTAACAAACTGTCGTCTGGGGCGCACCAGAGAAGCGGACTATTAGGTGTGGATGCGACCTTAAAGTTAGCGTTTATTTTGAAAGTGTGTACAACGAAAGATTCGCATAGGGGACACCTTCAAGTGAGACACAAGGCAACATTTAACTTTTTTATTCTGCTTTTGACTAGGGACCCCTAGGACTTTAATACTTTGAAGTTTTTAGAAAGCACTCATGAAACTGAAACATAAAAGAATAAAAAGTCACTGGGAAGAAAATGATTGACAATGTCGAGAAGGATTGGACCGACAGAATGAAATCATGCAGGGGTCCCAGTTGGTGGGATGAGGGTTGAGTGACACCGCTGCATATCCTTTCAAAAATAATCACCACAATAATTGAATGTGTGTGTATGCAGCCTTAAACTGAAAACAGTCTTGATGCTTGATAAATAATCAGAGTTCTTGTTACATATTCATTTTATTGTTTTATCATTTTAGCTTAATTGAAAAGTTAATTTAGAGAGCCTATCCTAAAATGCTGACAGTAGATTGATATCACTGAATTGCCCATCCCTACCCCAACATAAGAGCCATTATATAAAGCACTAGTATGGGAGACCTTTTTGTATTTTCACATTCTTTATTTTAAGGTCTGTGAGAATCATTTTAAATCTAACAATGGTGGCTTGGAGTGAGCAAAATCCAGCAACTTCCCCTCTAATGAGATCAACTCAACTAAAGCCCTTCTTTGTTGAGAGATATCTTATTTGAATTCTCCGTTCCCTAAATTCAGGAAATTAGGCTTTAAAGTAGCTCTCTAAACACCTGAATAGAGCAGAGCTGTCAAGGACAGCTTT